TATCTACAAACATTTTTTTGTCAGTGAACTTTGCAAGGTTACTTAATTTCGATGTGAGTAGTACGCGAGACTGTCTGCAATTATCACATAAGCTGGCCTAAACTGAATGCAGAACTGCGGCAGAACACTGTCCCTTTGAGCTAACTCTTGCAGGAGCCGAGCAAAAGAGCAAAGTCAGCAGTGTCGAGGCTAAGGACAGACCGTGAACGCACACTTTTCCGGACGAAATAAGGCAAATATAATAAAAGATAAAGTCAGGACGGTCAGTCCGACAGAAGGGAATTTGCGCCAGGAGGACGGGGAAGAGCTCTGCGTCGGTCTGGCTACTTATCCATCGAAGCAATGTACCAACCTGGCGAGCGTGGCCACACAACATATACACGTAAATGTTTATTTGTATTTGTATTTGTATTTATGTTTATCTTCAGAACGGTCTGGTCGGCTATCCGACTGTCTGCTTCTTCCGCTTGGCCTCATGTGCCCCAGTTGGCTGATAGACTCACGACTGTACATTCAGCCGCCTAATCGGCTGCTCCTCAATCTCGGATTGGCTGTACCGGATACTGACATGTCTGGTTGTCTTAGCGGCGGAGTGAGCCGGTCTGCGGGAGCATGTCATTGAGAGGCCTGTGTGACCCAATCAACTGGCAGCCTAGGCCCGACTGCCTGGAGGGACAGTCTCTGAATGTGGGCAAACTGTTCGACCTCAATTCCATCCCGGAGACTGGAGTCCGTCTCGAAATTACCGTCGTCTGCTTTCGCGTCTCGCAGACGGGCACTCTGTTTGCCCTTGGTTGGCATGGCTGACAGGCATAGGGACAGGAAAGTGATCCAAAAGTGAGCACAAAGTGCATGTGGATCCGGCACGTGTCAAAAGTTGATCTAGTCGCCGTCGTGGCAGACCGGTCTGGAGGGCGCTATCGCATCTTGTGGGACACGTGATCGGCAATAAAGTCCAATTGTAACAGGTCGCTTCATTGCTCCACGTGGGCGTTGCCATGGGCCTATCAGGTTGCTGCAAATCGTTCACCTTTGTTGCCAGGCTATCGTCAGTCGGGAATGTGGTTACTCAACCGGTAGAACAGGGCAGACGACCAGCCTCACGCGGTGTCGAAGAAGAGTCGGTTTTTCTGGTTCGTCTAGTCTGGAAGCCTCGAGAGACGCCGACCTTCTCTGAGGGCCCGACGAACACGAAGCGATGGACCTGAATGAGGAGAAGAAGAAGGGCAAATGTGCCAAAGGCTGTGATTGCATTCACAAAACCAATTGGGACCCTTTGCATCTGAATCGACTTTTCAACTCGGAGTTGTCCTGTCGAGGCCTCACCTTCCATCATACGCGTCCGAGTGACTTTCTCGTCTCTCAGGTGGGCCAGATACCACGTTGGTTAAATTAACTTGCCTAATTAACCCTTATTTTCTAGCCTCTGGTTGTGTCCAAGTCACAACATTGTGTGTCAGGTGAGTCGAAAATTTGACAAAAATTGTAACTATTTCATGGAACCTATGAGGATTAATGTGTCGATTAGTTTAAGCCTGAGGCTGAGATGGAGATACAAATGAAGTTGGCCAAACCTGCTCTGTGCATGCAAGCAGCAAAAATGGAATGTTAACGAGATTTGACGATTGGGTTGCGTGGTCAAACGAATATATCGAGCAGTCTTCACATTTTGTCCAATTTCTTTTCGCCAGTATTTATACCGTTTGGATAAAACGGACCGATTTTACAAATCACAATCATCAGTATGCTTTTTAGGATGTTCTCAGCACCCATTAAACACCCTTACGTTAAATTCTGAGGTGATGCAGGTAGGCGTTGTCTGAGCCAACGACCTAGCAGGATTTTGTATATGAGTAGGGGCGCCATGGCCATATTAACAATTCACAAAAGACCCACTAAATAGTCAGCATGCAATCATGTGTTTTTGAAGCATCTTTGAGCAAAACTGAGCATTTAGAAACTTGTGTTTCACTCAAAACGCTACGACAAAAAGCGAATATTTCACACGAAAAACAACAGATGTATTCCCTTG